CAGATTTACGGTATTTATCATGGAAGGTTGCGATATCCATAATACAGAGCCTATGGGTTAACAACTCATGGCTTCTGGATACTAAAACAAAACAAACAATCCCAGATTTACGGTATTCACAATGGAATCAAGGCCGAAAGGTTGCGATATCCAGAATACCGAGCCTAAGGGTTAACATTTAACAACTCATGGCTTCTGGATACTAAAACAAACAAACAAAAACACACACATACACACATGCATGCCTGGACACAATCACACACATACATACAGGCATGCACACATACACATTCACAAGCAAACACCCACAGACATGAAGACACACACACACAGACATGAAGACACACACACACCCACAGACACGAAGACACACAGACATGAAGACACACAAGAGGACACATGCACAAACTTAAACCCACATACACAGACATACACTAGGGCCCCATTGTGGGGGAACAACAAGAACTCACCTACTCCGCCCCTAAAAAGCATGTCTCTAGAGCCAACTAATCTCGGGCGTTTCCTCTAAAGTTGGAGAGGATCTTCTAAAGAGGCAGGGAATCAACAGTCTGCACACATATAAATAAGCCACATCTGTAAAACAGATGTGCATGCAAAACTCAGGTTCTGGAACAAGACTATAGTCCAGAAGTGAATGTATAATCTGAACTTTTTGCCAGTGAACATGAGGAAGAAGAAGAAGATATCCAATCTTTACACACAAAGTTCTGCCCACTGACAAGTGTTAAAAAAACAAATGGGTTGACAAACATGGGTGTTGCTATCGGCAAGTTCCAAATAGTTAGTTCACACATTCACACATGATTATACAAACAAACAATAAAAAAAGACTTGCACAAATAAACACTAATAAAGTTAGAAAAGAAAGTGTTATTTGAAAATGGCAATGTTTATTTTGAAAAATGATTATAGTAAAAAAAAAAAAACCAAACACTAACACACATGAAAACAAAGTACTGTAAAGTTGACGACAGATCACCTGATGACAGTCAAAGAAACAGTTCAACATTTGTCCCGTTCTATCAATCAACAGTTCACCAATTCACGGTCTAACAAATCATTTTCACACTTCAATGCTCCACATCTTAATATTTAAAAAATTTTCTGCGTTCGCAATTTAAAGGGTGGTTATGTTGTGGTTTACAGCAAGACTGTGATATGGATGCCTTTGGACCCAAACATCTAATTTCAGCAAGCCCATGGGTTGTCTTTTACAACATGCTTGTCAGGGTATTGAGCAATTTAGAACATGTCAGGGGATGGAGGCCCTTTACAACATTCCTGGCAGGATGGAGGCCCTTTACAACATTCCTGGCAGGATGGAGGCCCTTTACAACATTCCTGTCAGGGATGGAGGCCCTTTACAACATTCCTGGCAGGATGGAGGCCCTTTACAACATTCCTGGCAGGATGGAGGCCCTTTACAACATTCCTGGCAGGATGGAGGCCCTTTACAACATTCCTGGCAGGATGGAGGCCCTTTACAACATTCCTTTCGGGGATGGAGGCCCTTTACAACATTCCTGTCAGGATGGAGGCCCTTTACAACATTCCTTTTGGGGATGGAGGCCCTTTACAACATTCCTGTTGGGGATGGAGGCCCTTTACAACATTCCTGTCGGGGATGGCGGCCCTTTACAACATTCCTTTCGGGAATGGAGGCCCTTTACATTTCTGTTGGGGATGGAGGTCCTTTACAACATTCCTTCGGGGATGGGTGCTTTTTACAATGTGCTTGTCGGGGATGGAGGTGTAGGTTGATTATTACCCCCTTTCCCCCCCCCCCCCCCCATAATGAGACATCAGAAACAACATGGCTTCCTCATTCTGTCAATCAACAATTGTCAAGTTAACAGCCTCACAGATAATTCTCACTCTCTGACACTACACAGGTGAAAATGTAGACAAACAGAACAACAAAACCAAGCGGACACGAAGGCAGGCTGGACACCCTTGTGTCATCTTATAGCAAATGTATTCCAAATAGCAATATCAAAAACATGTGCAATGACAAATAAATAAGTGCCACAATTTATACAACAGCGAAATTCATACAAGGAAAAAAATAATGGCAAAACAGTCCGGAAATTATTTCTGCATTTCTAACTACAGCGTACTTTTGATAACAAGAGTTTCAGTCTGTAGTGAACCTATGTGTAAACACCCTTTACATTTATCAACTAGAGCATACTTTTGTTAGAAGATTTCCAAGTTACAGTGGACTTGTATGTAAACACACCCATTCTAGATGCAAGTCATAATAACACTTACCAACCATTGGCGTCCAAGGGAACCCCAGCTCAGAGTGTATTTACATCACCTCACAAAGTCTACAAAACTCACTCAATACAGACTCAATAAACCTCCTATCATAGACTTTACAAACATCATCTCAGTCTACAAACCTCACCACAAATCTTAACAAACCGGACCCCACAACTTTAGTAAAAATTCACACCACACACAGTATACCACACAAACCTTATTGTGAGGTGTTATTTAGGAAGTTTCCTCAACTAAATCTCAAACTTGCAGCATTTTGTTTCTACCACCAACATTATTTTCTGTAACAAAATTTCCACTCCACAAACAAACCAAAATGCACTATTCAATACAGTATTTCTAAAAACATCGTGTCACCAGTGCCAAACGTGGACATAACAGGAAACAAATTCAAACAAGAGAAATGAAACATCTTCGACAATTCATAAGTTATTTAACTAGCAGATATCGGATCAAAAATAATGTCAGAGGGAAATGTTGGGATATAACCAGTACTAAACTACATCAAGAGACAATAAATCAAATGGTTTGGACATGTTTCAAGACTACCAGTCTTGCAGCTCAAGCACAAAGGAAGCAGAGCCAGAAGTCGACTACTCAAGCGATAGATACATGAAACATATGAGGTTGTGAAGACAGTATCTTCTCTTACAGCGCTGCCCTTCAAAGGGCAGTTGACATGCTATGTCATGGTTACAGCTAGGCTGTGATATCTGTGCTTTTCTGTCCAACACCTCCAATTTCAGAAAGCACTCAATTAGTTACCTTTCACAACCTGCTTGTTAAGGTCAAGGAGTCGTGGGTATATCCCCCACTAACCCACCCCCAACAGGGCCCAAAAGTCGGGACAGAAGGTTGTGGATAAGACATGACAAAAAAATGTCACACAGCATGGACCTAAAGAAGACGCAGCACACACTAAGACTCGAAACCTCTCCCAAATCTGGCGGTGAAAGGAAAAGCTGGGTCTGGAGACAAAAGGAACGAGCAGTGGCACTGTTTTCATTACATACCATGCCATCGACTTACTTCTCTCCTGGCTACATTTACACAAAGGTTGTGACTGGTTATGTCCTACCTACACTGTTGAACAAAGACATGGCTGACTTGTCCCATCCTCTTGAGCTACGTGGTAAACACCACAGATTCTCCATCTCTTGATCATCAACTGATCATCATGGATTCAGTTTTCACCATGTCTCTGTGAAGTATCAAGATGTTGATTAATGATCAGTCTTCTTTGTTTTCTGCCAGCTGTATGTTTTCATTAACTGCAGTTCTTCACTTCCTGTTTTACTGCTTCGGACGAGGCAGATATAAGGTTCTGCTTCCTGCCCGTATCATCTCGACCAGAGATAATGTGTACTGTTGTAGAGATGTTGTAAAGTAGAGATGTTCTAGAGTAGAGATGTGGAGATGTTGTAAAGTAGAGATGTTATAAAGCAGAGTTGCAGATGTTATCTTTTCAGCTTGCTCTATCTCAAGCTCTACATCAGGGCTATTCAACGATTCTGGCTTGGGGAAGCTTACCAAGTATCCTGCTGATCATTGCCAGTAGTACTGTATCAATGATCCTCTTATGCCGGGTCTTAGACCTCTGGCCTGCGACTATCTCCACTTTCACAATCTTGTTCCTGAGAAAACTGAGTTGAATAGCCCTGTCTTACATCCTTCTTCTTGTGGCATACGCCTTGTGTTGTTATGTTGTTACAAGTCATTCTCTCTGAGGCGGCAAACAACTGTAATTTAATAACTGCATTACACATTTTAATTGAAGTTCTTCATCAAAGCCATAAGGAAAAGATTACTACATTTATGGGGCAAATCAAAAGAAAGGAGTTGTGGTAGTGTCATTTTAACTGTATCTCTTCTGGTTTACTCAGACAGTTTTTCTAAGACATTGCACCTCTGTTGTCTTGATTTTTGCCCTCATCTGGTACAGTGGTACAGAGATAGACATCTGCCGACAGATACAATGACAAACACCACTTGGCTTTGATTTTAAGAAGGAAAAGAATGCAGAGTTGCCTGCCCTTTGCAGAACCAGCCGTAGCATTTGTTGGCTGTTTGGTTCATGCCTGACAATGGCAGAGTAGAGACTGTCAACAGATTGATCTTTGGCCAACAAAATTGATCTTATTAGATTCTCATTTACGGCTTGTTGTTATTAAATCTTAACCCTTTCACCTCGCCTCACGAATGTATGAATGTTAAAACTGTGATATGGATGCCTTTGGGCCCAAACATCTAATTTCAAAAGGCCCATAAGTTGTCTTTTACAGCATGCTTGTCGGGGGATGGAGGCCCTTTACAACATTCCTGTCGGGGATGGAGGCCCTTTACAACATTCCTGTCGGGGATGGAGGCCTTTTACAACATTCCTGTCGGGGATGGAGGCCCTTTACAACATTTTTCACAAAGAGACAGCCAATTACAGAGATGAATGAAGACGGGTGATATCTACAACAGTGAACCTCATGGGTTTGGATTGTTGACAAAGTACTGAAGATGAGGCAGACAATATATTGCCAACACCCCTTGGTCATCTTTTATGACATGCATGGTTGGTTACAATGATTTGCTTCTCTCAAGGTAACCTGATACTGAAAAGTAGAACAGGACAAGAGAAGAAAAAAAGAATACACAGGTGAATAACAAGAATGCCAATTAAATCAGTAAGAAAACAGAAAAAAAACTTACAATTCAACATTGATTCTGCCAACAATCTCTCGGACAGTAGCAATCAGATGTTCATTGTCCTGAGGAGAGTCTAGTATCAAACTGTGCAGCTTGGCCATGTACATGTCAATAGACTCCAGGGTCGGCAGCTCTCCAGTGCCTGGGGAAAACAATGGTATGAACATATAAGATCTTGCAAGGCAGACGATGACAAGAATCTATGACAGAACTGTCTGTGTAACTAACTAAAGTGGAGCTTCCATATCTGTCATTAGTCCGTTTCTGAGGGGAGGATGAATGTCAAACATTGTCATCAAATGAACTGATAACTTCGTTAACTATAGCAGTATTTGGATGCCATTCCTTAATTAAAACCTCCATTTTCACCCAAGTGGACAGCCATCCCTAATTTCAGCACCTGAATCTGGCTCATCACCTTTTTCCTTGTCTGATGACTCGCCGGGGGTGGGACGAATATTGACTTTTCCAGGCGAATCTCAAACAAGAATTTCAACAGTGGGGGGGGGGGGGGGGGGGGTGGGGGGGGGGGGGGTGGGGGGGGGGGGGGGGGGGGGGGGGGGGGGGTGGGTGGGGGGGGGGGGGGGGGGGGGGAGGGGGGGGGGGGGGGGGGGGGGGGGGGGGGGGGGGGGGGGGGGTGGGTGGGGGTGGGGGGGGGGGGTGGGGGGGGGGGGGGGTGGGGGGGGGGGGGGGGGGGGGGGGGGGGGGGGGGGGGAGGGGGCCGGGCGCAAATTTAAAATGAATATTGAAGTTCCATGCAAGTAAAAGTAAATCAGCCTTATCATGACTGATGCATCAGACACACAATGTTGAGACCTACATTTTTGATAGACCAGCAGCCGGCACTGGTTGGGCGATGAAGTCAATATCAGGCCTGCCTGGCTGCCTTTACTTCCCAAGACATTATGTGGAACCCATTTCCTACTAAAATATCTACTCTGGTCGGATGTGAAACCCGGAACTCCAGATGAGCATCTAACCACAAAGCTAGCATGGCTGTGGCAACCATATTGTAACCCTGCTGGATACATTTGTCATTAAATTAGGCAATCTTATTTTGTTCATATTATTTCTTTAATATACTACAAAATAATACAATGGACTAAGAATTAAAATCATCCTTAAAGATCCGAACATCAGGGAAGATTCACTAGTAAACAGCATATTGCCTCCAAAACTGAAGCATTTTGGTCCTATCAAGCAGACGGCGGATTGGAAAGAATAAAAGCAGAAGGTATGGTACCAGGAAAGAGGGGCAGGGGCTGACCAGCAAGATGGGCTCAGGACATAAGTGGCACCTTGGATTGAAAGAGCAAGAGACAGGACAGCTGACGAGAGAGGGAGTTTCTTTCAGGCAGGCCGTGATGACAGCGACGTTCTGCAAAGGACATGCTTTAATGATGATAAAATATTTATGGCGACTAGAGCTTTATTTATTCTCTGGAACTGTGATTTCTCAAGACATCTCACATATTCTTGCTGTTACCTGGCAGAGGTACCGAGCTAAAGGAGGCCGTCAGACATGTTCGCAGGGCTTCCAGGTGAGCAGAGAGAGCTTGGTTGGCCTCTCTTTGTTGTGCTGCATCAAGTTCCAATCTGGAAACAAAAGATCACATCAAAAGTAAGCATGCATAATACTATTTACATCAGATCATGGCATACCCAGCAAGCATAACATAAACAAATCCAGGAAATCGGATGCTATAACCATTTCTCCCCGCAAAAATCTTAAAACATGACTTTTTTCCAAATTAATTTTTTTAAATATATCCTCTATAATTCTGTGAAACTACCCTAAGAAACTAGGTGAAGAGAAGAAGAAGAAGAAACTTGAGGTCTGGGTCAGTCCAGGGGGTCGACACCTATATCACTGAGAAGAATATGAAAGCCACTGCCTCCCTGTGGCCGTCAAGTCTGGGTTTTATTTTTCACATTAAAATTCATAAATACCATAAAATAAAATTATTTTTTTTTTTGCATGAAGAGGAAAAATACCTAAATATAAACGGAGCCAAGAAACAGCTTTCCTTCCCTTTGACCATAATAAACATGGTTTTGTTGACTTGGCCAATCCAATAAAGTGACATAATTATGAGATTTTACTATCATGTCATGACTGTAAAAAAAAAAAAAATTTCTCCCCAAATAATAACACTTTTTATAGCTATTTTTTTTATTTTTGTTTCAAAATAAATAAAGGCAGCAATCAATGAACAAGACGAGGGCGAACATTAAATGGAATGCATTCCTGAGGCATGTACTGAGTCACATGCTGTGACCTCTATCAGTGAGGCTTGAGGGAACATTATAAGTCAGTCAAGCTGTAAAAACAAAAAAGTTAGTGGATTAACAAAGAAACCCTTCTAAATGCTATTTTTAATTTATATCCACATCCGGGTCTCCTAAATATTACGCAGATGCATGAAGATCCGATAGAATTTACATTTTTCACCAACAGGTAAAGGTAAATTGTACTTGTACGTGAGAGGAAATGTACAACAACAAAGTTGTAATCAACTGAAAGTCACAAGTGGCTGGAACCAGAGATCAAACAATCCGCTTACCTCTCCACTGCTTGCCTCATGTTATCCGTATGTTTACTGAGAATGGCATTTTGTTCCTCCAGCTCCGTTGTCTGTTTACGTAACTGACGGAGCTCTGCATCCCTGGCTGCAGATTGCAAAATTAGGTTACAAATGGTTCATAATTAATTTATTAATTCATAATTAATAATGGATTCAGAGGGGAGTGTCTGTAGGCTCCAACAATTATTTACTGAACAACCACAATTCTAACAATTATTTCCTGAACAACCGTAATTCTGACAATTATTTACTGAAAAATCACAATTCTGACACATCAATAATTAAACAAGCATTATTGTGACAACTATTTTCTGAATAATCAAAATCCTAACATAATCATATTCATATCTTATTTACTGAAAAGTCACAATTCTAAAGTATTCTCATTCTGATACAACCAGTGACACCTTTTTTTGAGCAATCAACATTCTCGCACAATTATTGTTACCATCCATGTATTACCTTTGTTGTGATCTAAAAACTCCTCAGTGAAGATAGGTATATCAAATGTCCCAGATTCGTCCTCCTCCCCGCCTCCCACCTGCAGGTCTGAGTTGTCAACATCTTCTGAAAATAACACCATTAAATATTGCACCATTAAAAATGGCATTAAATACTGCATCATTTAAAATGACATTAAATATTACATCATTAAAGAAAAATGGAAACATTAACAGAAAACATGTTTATAAATATCCTGTGGCAAAGAGAGACAGCGCAGAGACTAAGAAAGGCGTCTGACAATCTGGCATAATGGCACGGAGTATTACGTGTACCAGTGGCAGTACATGAGATAGAGATCTACAGACAAACACCACATGGCATGGAGTATTACGTGTACCAGTGACAGTATATGAGATAGAGATCTACAGACAAACAACACATGGCATGGAGTATTACGTGTATCAGTGACAGTATATGAGATAGAGGTCTACAGACAAACAACACATGGCATGGAGTATTACGTGTACCAGTGACAGTATATGAGATAGAGGTCTACAGACAAACAACACATGGCATGGAGTATTACGTGTACCAGTGACAGTATATGAGATAGAGATCTACAGACAAACACCACATGGCATGGAGTATTACGTGTACCAGTGACAGTATATGAGATAGAGATCTACAGACAAACAACACATGGCATGGAGTATTACGTGTATCAGTGACAGTATATGAGATAGAGGTCTACAGACAAACAACACATGGCATGGAGTATTACGTGTACCAGTGACAGTATATGAGATAGAGGTCTACAGACAAACACCACATGGCATGGAGTATTACGTGTATCAGTGACAGTACATGAGATAGAGATCTACAGACAAACACCACATGGCATGGAGTATTACGTGTACCAGTGACAGTACATGAGATAGAGATCTACAGACAAACACCACATGGCATGGAGTATTACGTGTATCAGTGACAGTACATGAGATAGAGATCTACAGACAAACACCACATGGCATGGAGTATTACGTGTATCAGTGACAGTACATGAGATAGAGATCTACAGACAAACAACACATGGCATGGAGTATTACGTGTATCAGTGACAGTACATGAGATAGAGATCTACAGACAAACACCACATGGCATGGAGTATTACGTGTATCAGTGACAGTAGATGAGATAGAGATCTACAGACAAACACCACATGGCATGGAGTATTACGTGTACCAGTGACAGTACATGAGATAGAGGTCTACAGACAAACACCACATGGCATGGAGTATTACGTGTATCAGTGACAGTATATGAGATAGAGATCTACAGACAAACACCACATGGCATGGAGTATTACGTGTACCAGTGACAGTACATGAGATAGAGATCTACAGACAAACACCACATGGCATGGAGTATTACGTGTATCAGTGACAGTATATGAGATAGAGATCTACAGACAAACACCACATGGCATGGAGTATTACGTGTACCAGTGACAGTAGATGAGATAAGAGATCTACAGACAAACACCACATGGCATGGAGTATTACATGTACCAGTGGCAGTACATGAGATAGAGATCTACAGACAAACACCACATGGCATGGAGTATTACGTGTATAAGTGGCAGTACATGAGATAGAGGTCTACAGACAAACACCACATGGCATGGACTATAAGTGGGAGAAGAACTAAGTTAATTGCCTGTCCTCTATAGAACCAACCCTAGTATTGGAAACTTTGGCATCAGTTTGGTTTTGAAACACCTCCCTCATGCTATTTTTAGTTCTATAATCAGATTCATCAGATTCTGACCTCATAACATTTGCGCTGGATTGAACAAGCCAACAGTATTAACTATACGTCCTGTATACATGTCACTATAGACAAGTGGGAAAAGTGACATTTACAGGAAACTGGCCCCAACTGAAAGTGTCAGTTTTGCAGCTTCTCTGGGCAACATGGTTTAACTAAGTATATAAAACAATCACCAACCTTTAGACTTTTTCTCAAACTGCTGTCGAAATATTTTGTAAGAGTCTGTTTTCTGGTAGGCCTCTAGATCTTTCATGTACTTCTCCTTCTCCCTTTCAGCTTCGTCCAGATATCGCTGGAGGACAATAACAGCAGGTCATTAACTTATCGCTGCAGGAGGACAATAACAGCAGGTCATTAACTTATCGCTGCAGGAGGACAATAACAGCAGGTCATTATCGCTGCAGGAGGACAATAACAGCAGGTCATTATCGCTGCAGGAGGACAATAACAGCAGGTCATTATCGCTGCAGGAGGACAATAACAGCAGGTCATCATCGCTGCAGGAGGACAATAACAGCAGGTCATTATCGCTGCAGGAGGACAATAACAGCAGGTCATTAACTTATCGCTGCAGGAGGACAATAACAGCAGGTCATTAACTTATCGGTGCAGGAGGACAATAACAGCAGGTCATTAACTTATCGCTGCAGTAGGACAATAACAGCAGGTCATTAATGGTCTGTTTAAGGTCAAAGTTGAGAGGATCCATTTCCCCGCATCAGGTTTTATCCCATATTCCCCGGTCTCTCTCTCGCCACAGAGTGGCTAGCTTCCTGCCAAAAGTGTTGCACAAAGCATGAACTCCAATTTGTAGGGGACACCTCCATTTAACAGTGTGTATCAATGAAACAAATAGGGACTGGATGAATTATCAAAGCATTTCTCACCATTAGGCCAATGCAATCCCATGCTAATTGATTGGCTCACTGAAGCAAAATGCGTGTGTGGTTTTAGTGTCAGGTCATAGAAATACATCTGTGAGGTCTGAAAGGATTGTGATCAAGTCTGTAGCAATTCTGTGAGGAGTGAATATGTGGATGTGAGATAGTCACAGACGCACCAGCACACTGTGTGGGTCAGAGTGTCAGATCAAGTTATAGAAACACAACTGTGGGGCTGAGTGTGTGTTAGATTACGCCACAAAAACAAAACTGTTCCTTGGGCTGTGTGTGTTTTTTTAAGGTGGGTGTTGGATCAGGCCACATTTTGTAAGGTGGGTGTTGAATCAGGCTATGTTTTGTATGAAGGAGTTGGATCGGGTCATGTTTTGTAGAGTGGGTGTTGGATCGGGTCATGTTTTGTAGAGTGGGTGTTGGATCGGGTCATGTTTTGTAGAGTGGGTGTTGGATCGGGTCATGTTTTGTAGAGTGGGTGTTGGATCGGGTTATGTTTTGTAAGGTGAGTGTTGAATCAGGCCATGTTTTATAGAAAGGGATTGATCGGGTCATGTTTTGTAGAGTGGGTGTTGGATCGGGTCATGTTTTGTAGAGTGGGTGTTGGATCGGGTTATGTTTTGTAAGGTGAGTGTTGAATCAGGCCATGTTTTATAGAAAGGGATTGGACCGGGTCATGTTTTGTATATGGTATGGGTTTGACCAGCTCAAGCTTAGCACCAATGCTGACTGAACAACCGGGGTAATCCCAACAGCATTCTAGAAAATTAATTTACAGCAAAAATGTTGCACACAAACATGGCTAAGTTCAATCAGTAAATCAGTCAGGTGCCATCTCCACATGGAAGGTTGGCAGCAAGGAATCACTAAACAATCTGTCATTTGTCCTGGATGTTAACTCTCTCATAGACACTTCATGTAGTCCTCAACCTTGGCTGAGTTCAAGACTAAATAAAATATAAACACAAAAATCCTGCCATCCTGCAAGCCGAGTTCTAACCTGCTTCTCATGCGTCCCCAAGTTGGACCACTCGTTCCCCAGTTGCTTGGACATTTCAGCAAACGACAGGCTGGGCTTTTCCTGTCGGAACTGCTCTCTCCGTTCAGTCAAAAACCGCAAGTAGCCAGAAAGAGGCTGTTTAGGAGCATTTGTATCTTTCACCGCTTTCTTTCTCTTTTTGCCCTTAGTCCAGCCCCCTTTGCGCCTGGCACTCTGAAAACATACAAATCAGTGACAGAATGTAAATGCCAAGGGGCTACGACAGATCATTTTCTCTGATAAAAGACAATGGAGTTCAAAACATTCTGAACACTATGTTCAAAGAAAATATATATATATATATTTGGTTTCCTAATTTTATATATAAATATACACACACACACACACATATATATATATATATAAAATTAGGAAACCAAAAAGGTGGCATATTTTTAATAGTTATCTTTTATACTTAACAAAACAACCACAAACAGTGGTTTGTAAGCTGACCTGGCATACAAGTAGATCTCAAACACAAAGATATTTTTTCATAACATTCTGAGTTGGCCTATACTTGCTCCGCACATTGTATTCCTGCCAAATCACTCAAAACTTGGTTTTAGAATGATTTTTTAGGCTTGAAAACTGCATTTATACGACATAATTTACAGAAATTTCTTCATTAGGAACTGAAACAAGTCTGTCTAAAAAGATAGTTTTTTCAGGGTGTGAAGAGGTTAAAGCCATATGATTTTTTGCAATTGAGTAAACCTTTACGCGTTAAGAATTCAATATTGACCCCCAACAAAAAATAATTTACACCATCAAACCAAGGATTTGAACCCAGGTCAGCCCAGCAATCTAAATTATTAGTCATGCTCCTGCAGTATGGCCAACATATGGAGAAGAGATCGTATTCTAGCTATTTTAAAAAATAGGTGTGGGGAGGGTGCAAGGTGTATTGACCGTAGGCTAACTAAAAGAGGGATAATTGACTGTAGTCCATCAATCAAATGAAGGGAGGATAGTCTATCAAATGGACAGAGTATCGAGCATAGCTCCTGCTGTAATTGAGCCTACTAATGATTTACACTTGACACACTATGAGACGGCAGCAACAGTGTCACAACCAACACCCAAGATGGGAGATAATCACCACCCAAGTCTTGCACACCCTCTTAGAGACCTCAAGAGTATATTCTAAATGGGCAAGCTGATGGTTCTACCAGGATGGTAGATAATCACCACCCAATCTTGGAGACCACATGAGTATATTCTAAATGGGCAAGCTGATGCTTCTACCAGGATGGCAGACAATCACCACCCAAGTCTTGCACACCCTCTTAGAGACCTGACGAGTATGTTCTAAATGGGCAAGCTGATGGCCCTCTGGGATAAAGCCATGTCACTACCAGTCCCTAATTACAACCGTACAAAATAAACAACTCATTTCAATCAGGTCCAACAACAGGGCAGTCATGGTAGTGTAGCAGCTAGACACTTGCCTGTCAGCCTGAAGTTTTAGGGTTCAAATCTACATCAGGACTTTTTTTTTCTTGTTCAAAACTGACCGTGGCTCCCGTGTTGAACCAGTCTGAAATGGGTACCAGGTATATCCTGGGAAGTCAAGGCGACTGGCATGAGACTGACTACATCATCCACTGAGTGCTGATTGGTCTATAAAAATACACGTCTAGCTAACAGTATACGCCTGATCCAGACACACAAAAGGGTCCCTGACTGTCAGATCCAACAACAAACAACTACTCACCTCTGAATGCTGTCCCTGCATGCTGTCAGATGCAACAATGGTGAGTCCTGACGAGGTGTAGGGAAACATTAAATATTGACATAAACTAAAAGGGTGTATAAGTAAACAGCATCACTAGTTCTGATTCTCTGGCCCATTTGCTGATGAATGCAGTTATCCCTGTGTGGGTTTCGGGGCCTCTCTTAGGCCGGAAACAAAAATTAGATCCACTTACAAGCATGTCACAAAAGGCAACTTAATCTGCTGGAATCAGATGTGTTGGGCTGAAAGATGCAGGTATTGCAGCCTAGCTGTAAACCACAACATATCATGCCAACAGCCCTTTTAATAGTGAATGCATATGAAGAAGAATGCAATTACTAAATAGGCATATATAGTAAATACAATATAAAATTTATACACTTCTTAAACCCATTATATATAAATTTCACAGTCAATTCAATTATTTAGTGTTGGATGGCTAAAAGATCTCAGCAAGATTGATTTCAAACACTTGAGCCAACTGGTTAGTGACCAGACACACACAACACTCCAGAGCCATAGATGTCAGAAATTCAAAACTAAGGGACTGAGAACTTTACCCATATGGACAGGCACCTCAAAATTGTGAACAATGAGCTGCAGGTGCAGATATGCTCTCTACATACAGCTGAGAGACACCAGGATTAGACAGTTAGCATTCCAGTAGAAACAGGCTGTACAGATAATTCTTCTTCTTTGTGTTCACCGGCTGTTAACTCCGGCGGAAAGTTCAGGTTGTTCGTCCACTTCTGGACTGTAGTCCTGTTCCAGAACCTGAGTGTTGCGTGTGCATCCGTTTAACAGATCTGACTTATTTGTATGCAGACTCTTGGTTCCTTGCCTCTGAGGCAGATGCACTCCGACTTTGAAGGAATGTACAGATGGACAAGCATCAAACGGCTTCATGAAAGCATGTGGCCTTTCTGCCTGAACATCAGTGACAGGGAGAATGACAAGAAAAAGCTAAGACTTGAAATGGGCGCTTGCATCTATTGCGGTACAATGGGTACAGACTCTCCTGAGCCAGAACCAAAGTATCATATCAACAGTAACTGCGATGCAGGTTCTCATCCTCTCCAAGCACAGGACAATGTCTGCCACATTAACCATACTGACAATCTTATCTATGGATCAGTGTTTCAAGGGCTTGTCCAGTGCTGCCCCTGGTCTTGAGGCCCCCTCTGCCCAGTTTCTAGTGTCAATCTCTTCTTCTTCACTTTCTCTTTTATTGCTATGGGTGTTGAGGGAGATTTATGCATCTGCTTCTTGCTCTTCTGGCCGCTTCGACCACAGACACATTGTGCTGTTGTGAAGTTTCTGTGATGTTATCTTTCTATCTCCTTCTTCCTCATGCTCTGTCCATCTCCTTTTATTTGTGTATGTCTTGTATGGTACGGTATCACAAGGCATTCAAAGTGGGCAAACCATTTGATTTATTAGTATGTCATTTAGAACTGGTTCTGTCCCAAGCTTTTCTCTTATGACCTCATTCCTGATTTTATCTCTTCCGGTTAACTTCTGCCACCCTTCTCAGTGTGACGCTTATATATGTGTAAACTTAGTTTTAAGTCTGTACGTCTGTAAATTAAGATGTCGACAATATACAGAAATAAATTATGAATTAAAACTAATTAAAATAAAGTTCAAACTGCAGTGAAGAAGGCAGGCATAGTCAGCTAGATACTGACCGTGAGATAATTCCGGTTGGCCAACACTGCTGAGGAAGGGACTTGTGCCTGACAGTCTGTGGACAAACATGGAACAATTCATGTAAACAAGCGTACAGAATAATGTTGGGTGATTTTTGTGAAATTTTTAAGCTACATCTAATTTGTCTCAAAAGTATACGGTCTTCACTTCTTTCTTAGAAGACTCCTCATGTCTTTGTCATCTTCTTCGCCCCCCCCCCTCCCCGAGCAAAGGCCCTCAAGTAACTTATGCCAAGTTGTTCTATCCTTCGCTATCGCATGCAGCTCTTCCCATCTTTTTAACTTTACTCTCTAGCTTCTTTCTCAATGAGTTTTTTGGTCTTCCTTTTATTTCTATGCCCTTCTGGGTTCCAGCGCAAAGACTTTCTAGTTATATTGTAGTTTGTCTGCTATTCTATAATATATGCGGATCATACGGTGCAGACCACTTAAGGCAATCTCATATATGGTGAATTTCTGTCATGAAGAACAATTTGTTTATTCCCAGCAATTTTGCTTGATTGATTTGATTTAATTTCATTCAAGAACCGACTTTACAGCACTCGGGGCATTCCCATAAGCGTTCCGTCCCCATCTTCAGCAGCCAACAGAGTTCCGATACTAATGGTGCCAGTAGTATTCTGATTAAACGTCAATCTTGCCTTTCCTCTGAGCCTCGAGCATCAGCTAGAACCTCTCGTCACTCCCCCCAGCATCAATCTCAACAGACTGGTGATCCATCTGCTCCTCCGAACTGTACATGCTCTCCCACAAGGCACTAACCACGTCTGCCCTATCATGTATCAGTGTTCTACCAAGTTGCGCAGAGCCAGCCAGTCTGTCCGCCTGTTTATTTCCCAACACACCGGCATAAACCTGTGAAAAAATCCACACAATACTCCTCACCCGTGTCCCCCGCAGCAAAATTTTGCTTGAATAAACTCTTATCTGGATAACAGGAATTTCTGATTAGAAGAACAATTTCTTGGGTCTCCACGAGTTCTTATATGGCCTGCACTGCATAAAGTATAGGCAAAGATTTGAGAATGTGTCAGAGTTGCACAGCGCAAAAAGATAGAAAGTATTGGTCAATGGAAAACACTGGAGTGGGCACTGAACAACCTTGAAAATCCACCCTTATAAGGATATGAATCCATGAGCACAGCCACTACAGATAAGTAAATTAAGAAACACTTAACAGTTACCCCAGTTCCTTACTGCAGCCCCTACAGAAACAAAATAGTAACACTGCACGATACATCGTAAGAGCTTACTAAGGCTAGGGCTTAGCTGGAGCTACGGAGAGCGTGCTCTGTGCTTGATACCATCTTCTACTTGCACTGCCTACTATTGCAGATAGGCTCAACGTACTGCAAGCAAAGTCGTATCTCAGAGTAGATGCAGACAAAAACACCCCCTGCATGAAGTCCTAGCCAGAGCTAAGGGTCACAGACTGAAAAGAGGAGGGTCTTGGATGGTACAAGCTGAAGACACAATCAGACATGTGTGCAGGCTTGTTAAATTTGTGTGAAGTGAGGAGGGGGTCAAAGTGTCCGAGCAAGTTTCAGATTTGTGCAGGGTTTTTATCACTTAATGGCGTCAGTGCAGAGAGTGGACAGCTGGTGCTGCAGAATCAGAAGTTCAACAAATGATTCATGAAAATTCCCGCCCAAGTGATGTGATTATCTATACAGATGGCTCTGTGGGGCAGGCAAAGTGCATAAGAGTTTACAGAAAAGGTGAATGGAC